GATAATAGCATTCACAAATGATTGAATTTAAATTAGATAATTGTAATCCACAAATTATTGGATTGTTATGAGATAATAGCATTCACAAATGATTGAATTTAAATTAGATAATTGTAATCCACAAATTATTGGATGGTGATGAGATGATTGTAACCCATAAATTATTGGATTGTAATGCAAATATTGTAATCCACAAATAATTGGATTGTAAGGAGATGAATGTAATCCACATTTTGGTTTTGTCCTCGGGTACCGGTACACAAGAGCCGATACAAAAGACCAAAAAATACATAACAGCTAACCAATGACTCCTAAACAAAGAAACAATGGTTATTCCTTTACGCACCGGTACAGCACCGGTGCACGAGGACAACTAGACAGTTCATTAGTTATCTGGAATGCGATGGATCGTTGTGGGACTATATATTAATACACATAAACATGCTAAATGTGACTTTATTTGTAGATTGGAATTTTTATTTTCAGTTCTCGAAATGACAATAATCTTAAATATAAAATAACTGTCATGATATTCATTGTAACTGATGGCGAGATGACTGTTAAGCCGCACATGCATGAATCACTATTGTGAATACTGGTACTTGTAGCCCGCAAATAAATGGCTCTCATTTATTTAAATGAGATGCACGATTACTGGTTTATAAAATATTGTGATGGTTTGCTTACCTATCGACCCGTGAATTTTTGAGAGGTAAATAAAGGCTTAGAAATATTTATAACTTATCGATCATATCCGATCATCAAATCATCAGACAAGTGCCTCGAACATTAAACAAAGTAGAACACCTTTTATTATTAGTGATACTCACCTTGAAAATGATCGATAAACCAAATTTACGACCAGAAAGGTGTCGGCTAATTGCACAGATAAAGCGTGTGAGCTTGCAAATAAAGGAAAAATATATCTCTTCTGAATCGATCGATCCGAATTAGCGCGCCAGTGATACGTAGATTACACACGACATTTTAGCTACTCATTCACCCCTCCCCCAGGTCTAGATTTGTCAATAGGTCTATCCCGCAAATAAAATATATTAAAGTTCACACGGCAACCAGGTGGACAATCAGACATAGTTTGAAGCTACACTGGTTTGCAGATTTAATGAATGTAACCGAAGAAGTTACAATTCATAGACCCAACGTTTCGACACTCCTGTCTAGTGCCTTCATCAGGGGTGATTAGATCACCCCTGATGAAGGCACTAGACAGGAGTGTCGAAACGTTGGGTCTATGAATTGTAACTTCTTCGGTTACATTCATTAAATCTGCAAACCAGTGTAGCTTTAAACTATGTCAGGTCTATCCCGATTACAATGCATTAATTGACTGGTTACAACGTCATTACAAGTCCAGTAGTTACTGGGTTACAACGTGAGGAACGGGTGGCCGTGCAACTTACGCGAGTGCCCCTTAGTCAAACGACACGAGCATGTTTTGTCGTCGTCTCAGCGGATTCGACCGAAATGCCGTTGACTTACCGATTTATAAGGTTCAAGCCTTGACAGCTCTCCAAACCTGAGAATTTGGCGTGATCGGATCACCGCTGCAGGTACTCAAAAACCGTCTCACTTTTAGCCTTAGCGCACGATCTTTAAAAAACAAAACTTAGTTGCCACGGACTTACTGCCAACGAGTATTATTATCTTCACGAAAAACAACAATTTTTAAATTGTTAAAAATATCGTGTGTAACTTCAGTTCGGCTTTGGCGTAATATATAATAGAGCATAAGATGAGCTGAGTTTTTAAAGGTAAGTTTGTAGAATTCTCTCCAAGTTTTGCGTAGTTACACTGAAATGCAAAATTATGAAGATCACAAAATCACTCGTAAGAATCTCGGAAATTCCTTTAGGTGTCCGGTGACCAGTAAACTAGTGTGCCCCAAACTTACGGCTCACCTACCCCTCCCCTAACCCAACAAAAGTTGCCTACGCCTACTCGTCTTTAGATTTCCAAGAAACTGGAAAGCGACCTTCCACAATGTGAGCGAATGTTTTTAATGTTTTTGTTTTGAGCTGTTGCGAATATTTTTGAGTAGTTTTTCAACAGATCGCTAGAGAAATTCAATAAATCTAAGGTGCATAGTCGAATGATTTAAGGACCTTTTATGATCGTTTTTTAACATTTCAGACTTTCTTCATGCAAAGTACTATTTCGTCAAAGCTTAGAATTTGTGGCAACCCACCAAAAATTGTCTGAAAAGATTGTCGCTTACCTTATAGAGTTAAAAATGCAGCCACGACAAAATCTGTGACCACAGCTTGTCTGCACTGGCTCTCTCTCTGGCAGAACTACAAACATTTATAAAGAACTACGGTTAAATAAGGGCTGGTGATTGGTTGTATAGTCCAGTGTTTACGTGGCAGTTTCGCTTTCGCATGACGACAAAAATGAAGAACATTCAAAAAGTCAGTCGAAAAACCGATGGAGATAATTTGTACGATCGAGTAAAAGCTTCATTAACAAGTAGTGTTTACTATAACATCCACCTCCCACCTCTCCCTGCCTAGCAATAGTCCTTCTCTCACCCCTCCCCGAGTAATAACACTCTGCCTTCTACCCCTCCCTCAGTACTAGTAGACTGCATCCCACCCCTCCCTGAGTACTAATGGTGTGCTTCCCCCCGATGAAATGGTCCAAAAAATAGTCCAAAAAAATGGTCCAAAAAATAGTACAAAAAATAGTCCAAAAAATAGTCCAAAAAATGGTCCAAAAAATGGTCCAGTCCATATCTTACCCTATGCCCAGGCCAGAGGATGGAGTGCAGTAATCACAGCAAACAAAACGGTAAGTGGATGATCATTATGGATTACACTGATGGCTGAATTAGGGTGAAAATAATTGAGCCCTTAAAACTCTCTGAGTACAGTGTTGATCACTACTCTTTGGTTGGGAAATGAAAACTATGACACTGTCAAGGAACGAACTGGGGAAAGTTATGAACAGCCTGAAAAACTTAAAAAACTTAAAATATGAATCCTGGAAAAGTCCTTGAAATTTGTTTCTGAAAAAGGGTGCAAATCCTGAATTATAAAGGTATGACTCATGAACTGTCCCATAACTCTGCCAAGTTACAAACAGGTATACACTGTCCTGTTAGTGCTCAAATTGGGCTGGTGATAGTCAATCATGTTTGAAAATTTTGTTATAGTTCTGATCAATTAAGTTGTATTGTGTAACAGTTATTGTTTAAGTAAGTTATTCATTTCCTAGAGTTAAGTTCAGTTCTAGATTTTGGATATGCTTGATACAAGATAGACAAAATGTAAAAAATGGGCAAATTAATCTCTCAAAGTTTCAGGCCTGACTGCTTCAAATAAGTATTGAGATCATACTCATTTATGGTGTTTTTATACTTTTAAAAAAATGCCCAAATAGAGACAAATTGTTCATAAGGTTATGTTTCTCAGCAATTTCAAAATTTTCTGTAATCTTCTGACATAAAATTATAAGCAGTCAGTGTACTAACTGACAATTTACTTTTCTATCAGGTGCTATTCCTCATGCTTACACCCTCTTAGCATATGATTTTTACAAGCAAACTGATAACATCTCAGTATTAGAGTATATACACCACAAGTGAACATTTCATGGGAAAGGACTGTGGTACTACCCTCCAAATGAGCCTCTGCCCAGCTTAACCCTGATTGGCTCACCAAATTTTGGACATGGTTCAGTGTATCAAGATTTAGAGGCTCAGGTGGCCATAGTTACAGTTGACCAAGAACTAAGTTACACCCTTCATGAGGAGAAGACTCAACTCCACAGCAGAGTTCAGGAGGTCACTTGTGAGACATTTGAATGATGTGAACATAAATTACCAGTCTAGGTATGTTTTGTGACCAGATTAATAAAGAATCTTCTGTAACACTTGTCTCTTTATTTTGGTTTGCACAAAACAAATCCATTCTTAAAAATGATGAAGGAATCAGCATGTAGTCATGAATGTATGTAGTAGAGTGCTAGGCATAAAAGAATAGAACTTCTTTGGTGCGCTGCAAACCTTTAAATATCATTTGTTGGGTAAGTAAGAAACCTATTTTTGGGCTTGCAGACATAAAGCTGGTTTTATTAATGAATGAAGGAGTTTGGTTTGATGTGGTTTTAGGTTTTCAGTGTCATAAAAATTGGGAATGCAGCTACCAATGGTCGGGCATGTGAGAAATTAACCCAGATTCAGCTGTTTTTGCAGTCTAGGTGTAGTAATTTACCTGTTGTTATAATTCACACTTGAATAACAAGAATCAACCTCTGAAATTTAATGTTTTTTATTTTATTGAGACTTGTGGGAGATGCAACAAGTGCCATAATTACAGGGAAGATTGCACATAGGGTCATCTGATTCCAGTAAGATGCTCCAACCTCATACTACCTCTCCTCACCTAAGTACAAGTACTGATTTGTTTAAGCTACAAAAATCAAACAGAACCAGATAGAATATGCATAAAAAAACAAGCACCATCTCTTTAAATCCTTGCACAGCTGTACATCTTCTCTATAAAATGTTCTAAGAACCCATCAAAATAAACGCTCCCCAGTTTCACCCACATTTATCAGTTCTTTAGAACAAATATATACAGTCACAGCTATTTCTTAATTTTTGAGCCTACAATAGGTATACTAACTATTGGATAAGCCAGCTTAAGTTTTACCTAGGTCTGATCAAGTCCACAGTTAATTAACAATCTACTATTTAATGGCAGCTCTTTTCACCTTAAGTTAATTATTTATAAAAACAGATCTTTTCAGTTTCTGGATATACTTAATATAAGTTTAACTCTTGCTATATTTTTAGAGCTGAAATGCAAGAACACTCATTAAACTCATTAACTCTTAGAGACCTACAGTTAAAAGAGTTGGTGCAAAGAAGAGTTTGTGCCATTTTGTTCCTGATAAATAAAACCAAAGTGACACAAATTCTTTGATCTGACTTGCAATGGGTCTAAGTGCTGTATATAATTACAATGTACCAGATAAATGTAATCTTTTAAATAAATATATATCCGGTATATATGCTGTGAAGAAAACCAGTCAGTTCAGTTGTTTTTAGTCTTGAAATAAGACAGAGTGTGCAATGAGAGCTCCAAGCTGCTCATAACAGCTCTGGATTAATCAGTGAGCTCAAATTTCACTAACAAAGTATTATTCTTACAATACTGTGGCTTGTGGATCTTGTCAATTGGAGCAAAATGTTTGTAACCAGAATACTCAGAACTTATTACATTGTGTGGAGGTACTGGTCTTTGAAAGGCACTCAGTTCAGGTTTGGTTATCACAGTTTCTGTAATGTGGTACTGGAGCGACTCATCATCCGACTGATCCACAATAGATAAGGAGAAACCTTTTGAAAATGGCCATTCCAAGTGGTTGTCATAATCACCTCTCATCATATGAACATAAAGAGCCACATGTGTACCAACTCCACTCTTCACACCATTTAAATTAATCCTCAAGCACAATTTGTACCCATGTGGACTGGCATAAAAACCTGGACTGTACATGACTGGGCTTACACCACTGATGGCATCTTGGCAACACCTGTCAATGTTTTCTATCTTCCAGACATACCTTCCATTACAAAGTTGCTGTTCTTGACGTAGCAACTTCACCCTGTAATTTCAGGAATACAGAAAAATGTATACATTAAGACCCTTAATTTGAGCTTTTAAATTTACTTTTCCATGTACATGCACTGCAGTTGCAATAAGTGACTAGAACCTTAAAAGGAATTGAAAAAACTTCAAGTCATCATGATCAAGAGCTATAGTTCTTGGAAGCTAAATCCAAATGACTGGACCAAAAGAATTTAGCATATCAATTCACCCTTTGTACTACAATGCACATTCAGAATTCTTAGCCAATTTGAACACAACACGAATAAGATGAAATGCAATAAACTTTAGTTACAAATGTATCCTGATCCAGCAGCACTTGACAAGACTGACTCATTTAATTGAACAATTAACCCTTAACTCTCAGAAGTGATTTAAATGCAACTCCTCCTTACAATTCCAATCAGTTATTTTGTAAACAGGTTATGAGGGCAAACAATCTTATCAGCTGAAGGGCTTCATTTTAGAATAATTTCATATTCTCATGTCTAATTTACAGGGGAAAGTATGGCAGTAAGTTGGGAGAAATATCAAGTGGACCTTGGGAGTTAGAGGGTTAAAGCAAACATAAAAAAGTAGACAAAAATCACATTGCACTGATTAAAAATTATCCTGATCAGAATTTTGGTTTACAATACAGTTTTTTTTTACTGATCACAAATGTATCAAAAACATGCATGTTATAAGTTATCAGGTGAAGGTAAAATTACATGGAAACTATCATAAAGGGAAATAAGGCCCACATTGAGTTGGCACAACAGGGTTTGAGTTGTCAAGGGTCCATGATTACATTGCCTAGAGGAGAACAAATTGAGCTTGAGCACAATTAGTTAACTTGGGCTTGCAATAGTTGGTTCAAATTATCAGGAAAGTGTCAACTGTATTAGATTTAAATACTTTAGATAGTAACAGTTTGTCGTGGATGGGCCAACAAAGAAACTTGTTAATTGCCTTTTATTATAATCATGCAAATTCCCATATACAACCACATGACTTAAGTTTATGGATTAGATAAATTAATGTAACATTTTGTGTTTCAAGGGTATCCAAACTTGTCTAGTAACAGTTTACAAGGTATAATGAATAATGACAATGGGATATAGATCAACCCACTTGGTAAAAAAAGGCTTCATGTAAACATGCATTCCATCTGTCAGGGGTTGACAAGCTCACTTTGAGATTAAAGATATCGATGTACTATTTAGACTCTGAGAGTTATGGATTGCCAACATCTAGCACAATGAGACATTAAGAACAATATTTATAACAACCTTATTTTCTAAAATTAAAATTTAATTAAAAACTTAAAACTGATACAAGAAATTGGAAAAAAATATTTCCTTAACAAATTTTAAAGAAAGGAAAACTGTAGACACTTACTCAACTTCCAGTTCATCTACCCTGTCAACTGTTTCCTTCTGCTGAAGGGTTAAACGGTCAATTTCCTTGCGCTGCTTATGAAGGGTTTTCTGAAGGTCACCAACTTCACTTTCCAGCCATTGGGTCCAAATTGCCTGTTTTTCAGAAGGAAACTTATTTTCATCCTCCAATTTTACCTCTGTCCCCTTTACAGCATTTGTCTGCATGACCTCCTCATGATATATGAGAAAAATTTTCATCAAATCGGTGATTTGACTCAGATGTTGTTCCACAAGGTGTTTCCCTGCACCAGATCGAAAGCCCTGAAAAAACAATTGGGAAGCGTTAGTTATTATCTGGGTATTGAACCAAAAAATTCAAATTTCAGGCCACCTGAGGTGATGGTACAGCTCAATTAGGAACAAAATAATTTATTAATGAAAAGCTTATAAGATCATAAATATTATTTCATGAAGCTATTATTATATTAATATTAAAAAGATCATAAACTTCAGTCAGGTGAATTAAGTCTTAGAAAGTAAATGGAATGGACTAGCTGCATGCCATTCTTATAACCCACACTGGGTACATGTAAAGAAATAATTTTGAAACTACTACTTTTAATGTTGGCCACTACACATGGGGTTTTTTTTTGAAATGTTAATTAATCTTAACCCACATCATATTTGTAATTCTCCTTACCGCCAAACATACATTTCTTATAATTTTAGTTCAGAGAACTTAGTATTGGATCAACTTATTATCCCCAAATTGCTATTTTTCTTTATTCTCATCATTTATCTGGTTAATATTGTATTGATATATGTAAGGAGAAATTCTGTCTTGGTCACTCGTGGGAGTTAAGGGTTCAGGGATTGTCCTTTTATACAGTTCAAAACTTGTTGAGTTAGCTTTGTCCAATATATGCTGTACATGGTTCATATTTGAGATTTGTCACTTTCCTTACCTCAAATTCACAACCACCATGTTTGAATGGGCAGTCTGTCTTTACATTTGGACAATGGTGTTGTAAGTGTAACTTCATCTAATTTTGAAAACAAATAAATCAATAAATTACTAAAAAATGAAAGAAAACATCAAAAAACAAGCAATTTATGTTTATTTTCTAAGAAACTATATATGTATGGTTGTTTAATTCAATTATTGTCCATTGGCTCACTTTCAAACAACTATTAATAATAATTTAACTCAATCATTAAAACATACAGTAATAACAACTGTTACTGAAAACTGTCTTTTATTAATTTATACAACTGTCATTGATACATATTGTTAATTGCAATAAAACCTATGAAAAGTTATCTAATTTATACAATTAACTGAAAATTCTTAGAAGACAAGTATATTGTGTAGTGTGTAGGCAGTGGCATTGTGAGAGTAACTTAGGTGTCTTGGCCAAGGACATGCCTCTTTTCAGCGCTCAAAGTTGAACTTTGCTATTGGCTCACTAAACAAAAGCTTGGCCACTGCATGTCACACCAACCATGTTGATCTGTTGAATATGTCTTCATTACTGAATGTAAATTTATTACTCGATTATATATATATCTTCATTACCTTGTCTCTCTGTATGCCTTCTTGTTTACATTTATCACATTGCTGAGGATACTTTGGGCAACTTCCAAAGTGTTTCTGAAAGGAGCAGTTGATGTAAATTTATTAACCAATTGAAACCACCACTAACTTTATCTTGATAGAAAGATTATGGAATGCAGAATTCTTTAAAATTATAAGATATTTTGATATTCCTCTTCAGGAAATTGGTAATTAAAAAAACAGTAAAAATTACTGAATGCCATTACTTCAGGTTAATCAGGTATCAATCAACGTGTGCAGGCACAAGGGAAAAACATTTTCTTCCCCAATCTGTAAAGGTTTGGAAAACCATGAACTCTTTTTCACTCTAAGGTCACATGTAAAGTAATAATTGACTTTTCTACTAAAATGACTATTTCACAATGACTCACAAGCATTTTTCAAAGATATCAACATTTTTTTACAAAATGTAAGTTCAAGTCATTAAGACCCAATAAACTTCAATCTGCAGAGTCCGAAGTAACCCTCAGTTACAGGATAATTCCCCTTACTGAGTCATAAATCTACACTACTAGCTTTCATTAACCAAGTTGTCATGATAGACATTATCTTGACCCTTTGATAAAAATCTTACTCCTGACCTGAATCCTTATGATTCTCTCTTTCAGTTTCTGTACATTTGCTTTTCAGCTTTTCAGTTAGCTAAGATAATTTGGTGTTTTATCAACTGAAGATAGCCTAGCCATTCCGACCAATTAATTATTCTATTCTTGTCATGAAATTATTAGCTTAAGATGGTAGACAATGTTTTGATGTTGCAAGAAGACCATCATCAATTCCTTGGTAGTCATTTAAAGGATTAAAAGGGTTAATGGCAAAAATATATGCATTTCGTCAATTTTCAACAAACAATGATTTGTTATTGCTACCAAATAATACCAGAAAACTCCACGAATATATCTTTCAAAGCTTTTTCCAATTAACATGTTAGGAAAAATTAAAAATAGACTCACCAACAGATAGTTCTAACAGGTAAATTCAAATAAAGGGGAACATGAAAAAATGGCTGCATGTCTGTAGTTATACAATTTTATGCAAAAATTACAATAACTAAGAGGCTTACCTCCAACTCACACCATGAAACTGCACTGCCACAGTGCTCACAGAGAGACTTCCTGAGCACACATTCATTTTCCATGTGATGGCAGAGATTTTTCCTTTTTAGCTGCACCCCACAGTTATGTTTACATTCCACAAAAATATGGAGGCATATTTTGGAATGATCCTATCATGAAGGAGATTAAATTATTTTATTATATGGCAATGTTAAGTCCTGAGGTAAATCCAAGCATTATGATTTGTTCTTACTTGGTCAAGACTTTGCCATATGGACTGCTTCCAAAGAAACGTACAAAAGCCATGTATTTTTGTTAGCAAAAGCCCGCAAATTCAAACAAGTTTGGTGCATTATAATCAGTGCCATATGATAAATTACATAGTACACTAATTTTTGCTTGTTCAAACCATATTGAGGAATATTGATATACAGTTGTTTTTGTAGAGACCTTGCTGCAATTGGTCTGTAATGCCATGACCTTAGGCCAATATTCTCTAGTGTGGCCCTAACACTTGGTTTGTAATAAGCTGTAATGGAATATATTACCCTTGTTATCTAAAGACAGACAGAACAACTTCTAAATACAATGTCTTTATTTAAGACTACATGCTTCTGCTCTTGCATACTTTGAGTAGCAGATAAGTTTGATCTATGAGCTGACATTAAATTCCTCAAACTGATGAATGAAACAGGAATTATTGGCTGATGGCTGACTGAATTTGTTCCATGTGGTATGTTCAATTTTTCTCATGAGACTGTGCAGTAATAAGTATGTGCACTATAGAGTTAAATTGTCTCTCGCTGAATTTTACTTTTCAAGATGTGGTTTCTTAAAGAGTGCAATCCTGAGAAACAGCCATGGCAAGTTAAACATACATTTTATGTAATCTCATGGGCATGGGCTAATTTCTTACCTCTAACAGTGAAAGAGCACCTTTCCAAGGACATCCAGAACCTCTTGCTTTGCAGAAAACTTCCAATTTCAAAGTTTCCTGCTTTGCAAAATTGTCTGGATGGATCTGAAATTTAAAGATGAAGAATAAATTGAATTAACTCAAAATAGTACAGAATCAATTTTCATTTTTCTCACACTTAACAACATTAATATAGGTAATCACATGATTTCGAGTGCAATTTGGAATAAATAAGCATGAGTAAATTTTTTTAAAGACTAACAAAATTGTACGAGCCTATAGGGCAAGTGCAATTTGTGGTCTTTGAAAAAAATTAACAAGTGCTTATTTATTCCAAATTGCACGAGAAAATCATGTGATTACATGTTAATAATAAACATGAAAAAATACAAGATAGCTTATCATAATTAAGTGTAAGCAAAGCGTGTGCGCATCAAGTGCAAAAATAATTTATTCAAACCGTGCGTTCGGTCAAAACAACCACGTACAATCAAAACAATAATATACAACGATATCTTTACATCTTTAAGGTGCAAAAAAGTTCAAAGTTTGGCTAAACAGATCAAGGAATTGTTCAGTCTGTGTCCGAATCACTTTTGGTGAAATGGAATCGTCGTTTCTGAGGTTTAACCATGTTTGTTTTTAATTTTGGCGTTGGATTGCTCGAGCAAAGTGTTAAGCTGGGTCAGTTCGTAATTTTCAATTTCTGTGGCAATTCCCTTCTCTAAACACCACTTTTTCCAAACCGACAACCAAAAAGCAGTGCTTTTTAAAGTGTTTTCATTGTTTGAGCTGTTTTTCAGCTGTGGTGGCGAAAGAAAACCTACCTAAAATGATGGCCATTGTTTCGCTCGCAAATTTTCAAATTTTGTTGACATCCAAGGTTCGCATTTGATTGGCTGTCTGTGAGCTTCTTTGATTATTGAAAAATGGGAATGACTGATTTGTTACCTTCTTTGCACTGAATTAACCCTCTTCTGCACTGAATTACCTGAAAACTGCATTTATCTTAACCAATCAGAACTGAGTAATTTTTTCATGTAAATTATTAGTGGTTAAATAGGCCTCCACTGTTAGAAATGAACATTGTAAAATTTATCTTAACCAGTCATCTCTAGTCACCCAAACAGTAAGAGTCAAGGAAAATTACAGAATGTGCTCTCTCTTTGGATATATATATTTTTCAATTTTTTTATTAATATTCATCACAAGTTCTTTAATACCTTTGACTGTGAAAGCGATTCTGCATCCTCCAGGCAAGGTAAAGCACCAGCACTACATCTACAAAAATTAATGAAGGATAGTACATTAAGTAATTAAACATATCTTATGGTTTGAAATAAATATTTAGGAACAAATTTTTCAAACTTTAAAAACTGCTTTCAACCCCTTTTTTTCCCTTTCAATTGTTGGAAAATTATAATTATATACCACGATCTATAAATATTTGGTCACAGCTGAATCTACAATACACAATTCAGCTTCATTGAAGGTATGTTATTATTAGAATAACACAAACTACAATAAACCATGCCTTAGTAGTACTAATAATAGTGGAGCTTGCAGAGTGGAGCCTTATAATTATACAAAAATTATACAAAAGCCTTATAATTATACAAAAAATTATACAAAAAGAGTCGGACAACCTGGGTTCTAGTCCTGGCCGGGGCAAGGCGTTGTGCCCTTGAGACATGCGGGAAAAAAAAAATGCCAGCTCCACTTTTAGGCTTAACTAAATCTATATATTAGTCAGAGCTCCAAGTGACACATAATTTATGCAACTGGAAGGTCAGCCCACTTGGAAAAGACAAATACCCTAACGACTGATTGTAAAACTCTCCGACTCTGTGTTAAGAACTCATAAATGGAGCAGAAGTTTAAAATTTAAAAAAATTGGTATTTCACGTGCTATGTTTAGAATGTAGCCTAGATTTTACAGCTTTCAATTTTTCGCACGCTGCGGGTTGCTTGCCTTTTCTCAGTCATTATTTTTGTAAGAATAAGGAACACAATATTTTGCGGTTGGAGGGATAGACACAGTGACTATTTCTATTCAATAAGGACGTACTCTTTTTAATTAAAACCAAAAGGTACAATCAAGGCTCGAGGATAAAAAACATATCAAAATATCCAGAACACACCCAGATCAACCGAATCAGCACTTAATGTATAAACGTCACATTCTCAGGAAAAGTACATCCGAAGAAAGTATCTTTTGTTATTGTTTGTACAAAAGTTCGATTGGAGCTTTGCTTAAGCTTAGCCAAATCATATATTTAGTCGATCGATTTCGTAAATCGTTCATTCAGTTGGAACCATCCCACTCAAAAGAGAGTCCGAATAGACTGCTCGACAAATAGTTGGAAACTCAATTCATTACACTTATCGATCATTGACTTAATCATAAAGTTCAGGGTTTGAACTAAAGACAATAAACTTTACGAAAGATTTCATATGTACATCTATGTTTTATGTACAGTTCCCGTTGTATTACCTGATGAAGCCTTCAAGACATTTCCTACAGTATCTGTCACCACACTTCCTTTGTACTGGTTCTCGAATCCCTCGACGACAAATGGTACACTTAAGCTTGTCTTCGAATGGCGGATCACAATCTTTATCATAATCTTCGCAGCGAGTTGTTAATTTATGCTCATTTGAAACATGTCCAAATGGAGCATTTAGTGGCAACAGAGAACGATTATCCTCTTCATCGAAGGAAAACGCCATTACACTAGCTGACCAACACCGCACTTCTGCCAAACGACTCATTAGAGACCTGCTTCAACACGTTTTGTGGTTACATGTAATACTTCTCAACACGAGTCCAGGCCTCCTACAAGCCGAGCTTACCCGAGTAGTACCGAACCGAGATTGTTGAGCTACCAAAAAAAACTCATGATCTCGAGACCAAAGCTATATGTATATGTAAATATATGATGATTATCGCTAATTCTAAATTAGCATAGCATAGAGGAGCAGAGGGACCGTATCCCTGGTACTACTGTTATCTTACTTTTCTACACGACATTGACCTTTTTTGTTTTGGTTACCAGCCCCGCCAGTTGTCATTTTGTCAAAAATAACTTTTGAAACCAAACATAAACTTCTGTCACGGTCAACTTTAATTTTTCGCTTAACTTGGAAGTACATTGCACTAGCAGTATAGTTGAAGCTCCAAAAACGGTCAGAGGAAAGTGAGTACTTCAAACGATCAACGATAACTTGAGGTAGCAATGACACGATAAAAGTACGCTGTTCAATTCGTTTGTGCTCTTCGACAGGCCTCTGGCATCCTTCAGAAATAACATCATCTACATCGATCGCCCAAACAATCACAAGACAAGACTTGAAGTCGTTTTGCTTTTTGAAAATAACTTCCTTCCACACGTCACACAACAATTTTAAGATTTTGCCGCTTACATCTAAGTTACAGAGGGACAAAATGACAAGAAAGGTTGTCTCAAATACTCGATCTATTGTTGTGTTTCCGACGAGTTTTCCTCCTTTTCTTTCGCGATTCTTGAGCGAGAGAACGATGCAAAGGCACATCAGCGGTTTTTCGCGTCAAAATAAAGGCCTGTTTACACGGACGTGGGGGACCCTAGGTAGGGTGAGGTAATCCACCTAGCCGTGATCGAAAAGTAAAACGCGTTTACATACAATCTTACACCCCCGAGGTGCTGGGGTGAAGTTTCTTGAGGTTGTTGCGCTTGCAATCAGGGAGTTTGAGCATAGGCGTCCCAAGCTCACGTCTCGTGAAAGACGAAAGATTAATTCTCGGACACGTATGTATTTATTTATCTGTGAAAGCGTCACGCGTTGTGTTACGCGGTGTTAGGTTACGCGAAGTGACATAGACTTTATACGTTATAAGAAATAGTTTGAAATATGGTCGATTTAAAACGCTAAATATTCCACCATACAGAAAAGTTTTCATGTCTTGTGCTCACTGAGCTACTCTGTTGGTAACCGGTCAAGTCGCCCCTGAAGTCATCTCGCCCAAAGTCATGTCGCCCGGAACCTCTGTCATGTTGCCTGAATCAAAAAGTCAAGTAGCCCGAAGCAACAATTACATAAAAGATCAGACTTACGGACTGTGCATAGGCAATAAGGTTGAGAAATCTTTATCACTAAAGGGTCTTTCAGATCGTAGGTTGAATTAAATAAACACTTTTTATGTTAATTATAAATGTTCGCTGAACGATTGTATCAGGTCGCATTCAACCCCAGTGACATTTTCACTACTGAAGGTTGGTAACGTAAGTACACACACCCAGAAGGGTGTTTCAATCGATCGATACCTTGGCTGTTTCTAAAAATATCCCATTTTGATATTTTAACAAGTGATAAAAAAATCGGGTGACTTGACTTTTAATTTCAGGCAACATGACTAAGGCAGTGTTCACACTTGGTGCCC